CTATTCTGGAGCAACAACGTTTTTAATTACAATGTTATTTCCTTTAATAAGGCAAATAACCTCACAAATTTGACTAAAGTTTGCACACAAAGACTTAAATAAAGAATTAATCACATAAATCACATGGACTACTTGTATGGTGCTTTTTTGCTGTTTCTTGAGCTTACTTCTCACATCTGCGTGAGAAATAGGAAGAAATGTAAGTCTTTTCTTTCGTAAATCTGAAATATTTGTACTTTTGTATATTTAATCTTAACACGAGAAATAGTGGAAATCTGCACCAAGTCAATACAGACAAGTTTTCAGGTGCTTTTTGTTGTTTCTTGAGCTTGACATGCCCTAGTCACAATTATTGGAAAGTAGTAGCATGAACATTTGCCAAAACATATCTTTTTGTGCTCTACAAAAGAAAAAAATATTTGTGCTCTACATTCCAAGTCTTCTTAAGTCATACGGTAGATTTGTGTGAGAAACAGGAAGAAACTGAAGTCTTTTCTTTCATAAACATGAAATATAATTTATACTTTTGCATATTCAAACCTGACATGCAAAAAACTTGGAGCACCAACAAATTTAATTACAACGATAATTGCTTTAATAAAGCTAATAAATAAATGTCAACATATTTTGCATGCAAAGACTTCGCACGAGTCATTCAGGCAAGCTTTCTGCTGATTTTTTTGTCACTGACATGCCCTAGTCACAATTCTTGGAAAGGAGCAGCGTGAACATTTATCGAAACTTCTCTTTTGGTGCTCAACGATAGAACGCCATTAGGGTGAAGGGATTTCTTATTTTCGGTAAACTAGCCCTTTAACAAGCAACCTGAAAAAGCCTCGGCGTGGTCTGCAGACGGATGCCGCCCCGAGCCATAAGCATCAGAACTTTACTTAAGCAATCGAGCTGCGTCAGGGAGGTTAAACGCAGCACTGTACGAAGCAGGTAATGAGGGACATTCGAGCCTTTTAGCTGATAACTTTAAAGAGACAAGACTAAGGTGGGTTTCTTTTCCTCAGGGGCCTGAAATCTCTCACTTGGAAGCTTCAAAGGGAAAATAAATGATTGAAATTGCTCGCGTCACTTTCTGCCCGAGTCAATCAAAGCGGAGAGGAGATGGCAAGGGCGAGGACAGCACACAGATACTTAAAGAGATTGCTAAACGCTACGGCACGCCGCTTCCCGAAAAATCGCGACATAATGAGCGCCGGTCTGAGGAACGACAACAAACGGACCTTTGGCGCGATTCCTAATATAGCGACGGCCACAGTCCGAACATAAACACTAGAAATGGAAGAATAACACAGGCCTGTGTTATTGAGCAATAATACTCTGAGGCTGCAGAAACACAAAGTGATTTTTATGGCGCTACATGGGACCACAGTATTGTGCAGATTGCGGTGTACAGTTTCGACACGATTTTGGTCCGGTCAGCGCGGCGCTGGACAGGGTGTCTGGAGGTTTTTCAGGGGGGTTCGAGAGGTTCAGATTGGGTGTTTTGTGGTCAGACAGAGGCACACCCAGGCTAAATGAACTGTTTTTAGAGCTCGTGTGGAGGATTGTGGGAAAGCAGACCCTCATCTGACGCCTCATTCCAAATTGAAGGATATGAATTAAAGAGTGCGTGGTTGAAATAATGCTAATACATACAATACCAGTCAAAAGTTTGGACACACTGGACCATTTTTTGCATGATCACAGAAAACATTTCTGGTCAAAAAGCTTGTTAATATATATAAAAGCTTATTGTTATAAAATGTTATTTTGAAGCTAAATTACAAGAGCTTTAATTTTAGCTATAAAAACAAATACAAATAATTTAGATTTTTTTGGTCACTACACAATTACATGCATTTGTCTTTATAGTCATAAAAAAGTATTTATGTATTTAATTACTTTTATATTTTTATTGTATATTATATTCTATATAATAAAACAATATTCTGCATAATAAAGCAATTATAAAACTAATAATAAAATGAACATTTACATACAAATACATCAAGAAATATATTTTATTTTCATTTAATATTTTATTGTAAGTAATAAAATTATAAAACAAATGAATTATAAATAAATGCAACATTTACATACATCTATAAATATTATACATAAGGACATATATGAATATGTTTAGTTTTTACAATTGTATTTATTTATTGAGTTTTTTTACAAAAAATGTATATACAACATAACATTTGCATTCACGCACATGCACGTGCACACACACACACACACACACACACACACACACACACACACACACACACACACACACACACAAGCCTCCAGCTCTACTACCACAGGCCAGCTTTATTCACAGCCCTTTTTTCTTTTTGATTAAAAACGTCTCCTCCTCATGTTGATTTATGAGTGCATGAGCGAGCAAGAGGGAGGCGGTGAGGATGACATCATGCAGTTGGCAACCTCTCGCAGAGGTGACATCCACTCGCTTTGTGTGTGTGTGTGTGTAAGTAAAAGCCTGTGTGCGGCGCAGCTGTACGACACCACGATCACAAATCCACCTGGACGGCGTGTGTGGGCCAAACGGCGCATTTAAACAGGTGTTCTTAAGAACAAAAACCACTTAAAGTCAATACGACACAGATTGCAACACAATTTACATCCACAATTGGATGCCTTTCTGAGCAAAACGAGCTATTCAGAAAATAATATAATAAGAAGAATAAGAAGAAAAACAAATGTGATAATTGATTTATCTCTGGGATGATACTTGCTTAACTAGAAACAAGCAACATTGTCAAATTAGTAGCAGTGTAGCATGAAAACATGCAGTTTTAATGTCATGTTGCATTGCAACATAGCTGTAGCACAATGCTAGCTGATGCAATTATTATACCATCCTAAAATTTCATTAGAAAATCTGATTTTGTAGTTTTAATCAGTTAAAAATGTTCTTTTTATTTGTAACTTTAAGTGCAACTGTCACTAAGTGCTAGTGCTAACTTTTACCATCTAAGCGCTAACTGCTTTCCCAAACGACTAGCTTGACTGTTCCTTAATTCTCATATGAAGCATTAGATCTAATATTAGACAGCTAAAAGATCATTTAATCAGTCAGTCAAAAAAGCTTCTTTATAACTTTAAGTGCAGCTGTCGCTAACTGCTAACTTTTAGCAGCTAAGTGCTAACTCCTTTCCAAAACGAGTCGCTTGACAGTTTCCAAACTCTCATACAAAGCATTAGGTTTAACAGCGAACAGTTATAACTGTTCATTTGATTGATTCAGTTATTTTTATTTATAATTTTACATGTAACTGTCGCTAACTGCTAACTTTTAACATCTAAATGCTAACGTTTTTTTCTCCAAAATAGTAGCATATCATCTTTCGCTTTGCAGCAAACCTTCCAAAATTACTTTCAACTAAAAGTAATACTACTTTCTACTTAAAAGTAAAAACTACTTTCTCCAACACTGAAAATGACAAAAGAATAACAACAAAATGTCCCCCGTTCAGCCGGCTGTGCTGTACGACAACCTGACGAGACAGTAATTAGCGATCAGAGCCTGTGAGAGTACAGCGGACGGCCTGATGAAGAGATATACACGCGGAAATAAGAGACGAAATAATCCGATAAACAGTGATCTCGCACTTCATGTCTCTGCGTGTACGGGGAGATCCTTAAACCCACACAGAGTTTTGTTTTAGATGATTATGAAGCCTTAAGTCTGAATGTGCAAAACCACAGACTTTCAAAATCTAATAGTCGGTTTGGCTGGATGACTAGCTGACTAATCAGTTTAAACAAGTCCTGTATAGCCTAATTAGCTTAGTTTTGGGTTCATTTGACCTAAAGAATACACGTTTTCTGAGAGGATTTAATCATGTAAACCATTGAATAGATAAAACTAATTAAATTACAGTTAATTAAAACTGACGTCACTAAAAGTATCAAAACTAATACAAAAAAAAAAAAAGTATTATTGAATTTCCTAATTAACTTGCAGGTCAGTAAAGCTTGAGTTCTTAATTTTAAAAACTGTCGCAAACAAAAGTTCTGAAAGTTTACACAAGTATACCAATGCAAAAAGTCAAATTTCTTTATCGACTGGAAAGAAGGTTAATCAACTAGTTGACCATCAAGAACCATCGCCAATGTTAAGAAAAGCTTAAGTTTAGTCTTAGTCTCAAGATTTGTCTCAAACAAAAGGTTTCTTTCAAATATTAAACCTGCCGCTCTGCCATGACAGAACTTCTCACAACTGCTCATAAGAATAGTCCTACTGTTTAATAGTTACGTAATAGTTACGAGAATCCAGGACAATGATATTGACCCTTCAACCACTGAATCAGCCAATATTGGGTCTGCAATTGAAATACGTAAATATTGACACAAAATGGCCGTAACCATTGAATCAGCCAATATTGGGCCTGCAAAAGTAATATGTCGATGTCGATCGAAATTGGCCACCCTCAACCACTGATTTGGCCATTATTGGGCCTGCAATGGTAATACGTCAATATTGACACAAAACGGCCACCTTCATCCACTGAATCAGCCAATACTGGGTCTGCAATGGTAATACTTCGATGACGACCCAAAATGGCTGCTCTCCACCACTGAATCAGACAATATTGGGTCTACAATGGTAATACGTCGATGTCAAACCAAAATAACTGCCCTCAACCATTGAATCAGCCAATATTTGGCCTGTAAAGGGAATATGTCAATGTCGAACCAAAATGAGTGCCCTCAACCATTGAATCAGCCAATATTTGGCCTGTAAAGGAAATATGTCAATGTCAAACCAAAATGAGCGCCCTCAACCACTGAATCAGCCAATATTTGGCCTGTAAAGGGAATACGTAGATGCTGACCCAAAATGGCCACCCTTAACCACTGAATCTTGAAGTCTTAACATTTGCATGCCACTTACTCTTAATTCTAGAAAAAAACAACTGTGTCTATTCTAGACTTTTGACACACTTGAGACTTAAACTTGACTCTTAAACTCAAGTTTCATCTTAGTTTGGTCTTACATAAGGCCAAGGAGCCGGTGAGCAGCGGAGACAGCAGCAGGGCGCTCAGGGAGAGCAGGATGGGCAGGTGGCTGGCTGGCGTCATGTCGTAGATGACCTCTGACCTGTCTGGAGAGCCGTGGCCCCACAGGCTGGAGACGAAGGGTCGGCACACTGGACGTTTGGCACTCTGGAGGAGAGAAAACAGGAGAATCCTTATAAGTAATGGTACTCACTGACAGGTGAGATAAACATGAGTATGTTAACATTGTTTCACCAGTCAACCATCAAGTTCATTCACACACTTTACCAGAACGCTCAGTTTGAGCCTGTTCACATTCCCTCAGACTCCCAATTACAGTTTTACACAACTCATAATTAGTCAGTCTTTATCGCTGGATCTCGTCGTTATTTACTTATCTGCCCATCTTGTAATTACCAAGACACTCATCAATATTTCAGACGGCGTCTCTTTGTTTTAGCCAAATTGCGATTAATCCCCCCGTCACCGCTCCCTGCCTCGGGAGTCGACTCGCGGGTTGCTGTGTTTCTCACACATACGGGGCGGAAACCCGGCGAACGTGCTTGTACACCATTTAATTAAAGATGGCAAGAACATCAGATGGCAAGATGGCGCAAAGAGAGAGACGCGCAAACACGTGTAGTTGCTTTCGGAAGCACTTGCTCACGTTGAGAATGAAAGAGATGTTGACATGAAGCGATGAGACTCTGTAAAGAGTGACTGTGGCATCTGTAGATGAACCTCCAGGCCTGTGTGACTCAATAAGGGTGTTCAAACAAGACACAGTATAAGCTGGCACTTTTTAAATTTGTGCCCTGGGGATCTGGTGGAGGACCAACAGTGGAAGTCAAGCAACTACTAAACGGGCCTTCAAATGGCTGATATTAAAAGTCTATAATATTTTGTCTAAATAAATTAGAATATAAAAAAACAAAATCACTAAATGCTATGAGTAAATTAATTTTAAATAAAATAATTACAAATATATATATTTTTTTAAAAGGTTAACTTGATGGCAAACATAATTTAAATGTAAAAAAAAAACGATAAATGAGCATGTATAATTAAATATCCAATATCGCCCAATATGGATAATAAAATAAAATAAAATAAAATAAAAATTATATGGTCACAGACACACGGGGCTTTTTTAATAAAAATAAGTATTACAATATTTTTTTAATACTGTATAAAATATTATAAAGACAAAATGAACTGATAAATGTATAAATAAATTAGAAATAGAATTTAGGCATCACATTACAAAATGTAGTATAAAAAAATAAATATTTTTTTATGGATTCATTTTAAGTGAGTGCTAGATTATAGCAAAGGTCATTTAAAATGTGAAAGAAGGAAATGAACATTTATAATTAAATATACAATACTTACAGATAAATGGATTAATATAATTTTTTTTAAATAAATATATAAATTGTCCAATGAATGGCCAAAAACCAATATAGTTTGGACATATCATGTATTCCCAATAAAAATAAATGCTGACAATATTTGTATAATATTGCTTAAAATACTATTATTATAATACTATATCAAATATTATTATAATAATTTGTAATTATGGTATTATTTATAATATTTATAACAATAATAATGTAATGGGATTTAAAAAAATTAAAGAGAAGTCTCAAACACTTTGTAACCCTTCAGCAACACTGAAAACTAAACAGTCAAATGTCACCAAGAAGCCAAGATTTATGATTGTGGGTGCCGACATAACGCACTGCAACAGTCCACTATTGTTCTCCTCCCCAGAGGGCACGTGAGACTCTTCAGACTTTCATAATAAGTCTATTGTGTCCTTCTGCTTAGATCAACACAATAACACAGTCATCACATCCACACACACAGTGTCAGTCTGCACCGCTATTTGTGCTCCTCTAGTGTGGAGTGTTACATTTCCAGAGAGCCTGGAAGTCATAATGCGCGAGTGAGGACCTAAAGACAGCTGGCTTGTCAGCTTGGGGTTTCCTGTCAACCTGCATGGTGACACTTGAAATTCTGCCCCACATAAACAATTGAAAACGTCAGTCGAGGGATTCATCTCTGGAGTGCCACAAGCATAGGACCAAGGCAGGCGCGGCATGCTCAGACAAACAGGAGGAATATGTCCACCCTGATTTACGATGCTCCTCTACGCTGGCTGTCCAAATCAGATTCCAAATGCAGTTCCTGTTTACCATGTCTGGAACGTGAAGGTCTGAAGTTTCATTGCAACAATGAGCTAAAACGAAACAATGGATCCCCCCAAACAACCTTAATAACAAATGCAACCATGTTGCATTCATCAAAGGCAGACAATTTGTGTCATGCTTGGTGTGAAGCGATTCAATTTCACGAATGCAGCATTTGTTAGCAATGGTGCAAAATTTGGTGCAAAAGATTATGAAACCTACTGACGCCAGAATATAGGTGTTTCTCGAATCGAATGCTCTCAATTCACGTTCCCCACCTTGGCTAGCCCTCAAAGGCTGGGAAAACAGGCGCATTTCAACCACACCGTCATACAATATGCACAAGGACCTGTGTGTATGAATAATTGAGCTGTACGGAGAGGCGAATGTTATGGACTTGTTGGGGAGCGACACTACATGCACAGCGATTCTGCAAAAACGCTCAACCACTGGTAACAAACTTTTGTGTCATGCCATTATGGTTTGGCATGCCATTCCTAACAATGTGTTGCATGCATTGGATACTGATGCAAAATCGTGCCACACTCAGTACATACTAAACAGTTTTGGTGTGAAACCCCACACCTCCAAACTCCAAAGCATGCAAATAGTCTAGGCTTTTTTAAACAAGCCATTATGAGTCAAGGATACACAGTGCCTGCGGATACCAGCATTGCAACCACTGACAGTCAGTCGTGCGGCTCTTGAGACGTGCATTTATGTGTGCCCAGGTCTTTTATCTTCAGTTCTATCTCCTATCTTTCTTGCTACCTCCAGCCAATGGCGATATGCCATATGAGTGTGTGTTTTCTTTTTAATGGAGAGCACCAGCAGTCAGATGTAATCAGGGCTGCGCTCATGACTGGCTGGCTTCCTAATCCTGCACATTTTCATGCATTATTAATGCTAACATGTCGGATCCGGCACTAAAACGGAGAGATATGACAACAGACAGAAAAGAGAGTGAAAGGTTGAAAGATCTGGCATTTCAAACTGGGGTACACGAAAAGATGCATGCCCTGCGGTCGCAGGAATAATAGGCATGTTAAAATGAGGCAAGCACGTCAAAGACGCAACTGCGTTCTAGCGTGTGAACAGAAATATCAAAACATCATCTTCTAAATGAGCGCTAAAGAAGAGTCGTAAACAACGACCAAGTTCAAACTGTGGCTGTGGAAGGCACATGCTGCATTTAATGCACTTGCATGATTATGAAATCCGCAGTGCCGAGAAACAAAGACAGAAAGACAGCTAGTGCTGTGAGTTTATGTGCATGTACGTTAAGTAGTTCATCCTGGTTTTTGCAAAGATTGATGCAAGAATGCAAAAATCTGGTAGCAGCTCATGCCGACGACGGAACTACCGTGCAGATGCTTAGAAAAGAAACAGATGCAGATGCATAACAACTGGGAGGACAACAGTGTGTGTGTGATTTTTAATGCTGGATAATCAGAGGAGGAAGCCAGTTCGGAGTCCCCAGTGAGTCTGTGTGAGGGAAGAAACCATGGCGTACGTCCAATTAAAACTCCCAATTAAGCGCCCCAGGGAGCGTTCCTCAATATTGAGATCAAACCGCTGATAACTGCGCAATCGGGTGTGATCGCAAAGACACCGCGCTACAACGTGTCTGCAACACTCTCTTAACCCCTTTAGTCACCTTTGACTCTCAATACTGTAGATGATGGCATGCTAACAGGGCTGCTAACATCACAATCTGCAATCTCTGAAGCTAACGAATGCTACAAAGGAAGATTTATCAGCTTCACATGCATTCGAAGCTAACGAATGCTAATTACACGTCTACATTATAGCTAAAGTGATGCACGCTGTGAAGTGAGTAGCATGTCATTATGCACAATACCACCTCCAAAAACAAGTGGAAAAGAACACAGGGTCCTGATTTTTCGCTAGTAAAATGGGCCGTCTGATTATACGCGTGCTAAAAACGTGATGGTTTAAAACCAGATTCAAGACAAAAGACCTCAGAGGGGTCTCATAAAACAATGCCGTGGCCATTTCTATTTACGAGCGAATGTAATATCCCTTAAAGAGCCCCTTGTAATGGCGCAGTTCCCTACGTATGCTACAGGCAACAGAGGCCCTTGTGAATGGCTCTTGATTCAGTCCAATTATCAAGGACACACACTCCTCCTGCGGTCACACACACTTATGTGTCTGTCCGCAGCCGTAAAGTGCGAGAGCTCGAGCACACACACATCTGGCTTTCATGTCAGCGCCAGATTTGACTGTGTAGTCCAGGTGGCTTGAGTTCATGTTTGTCTTTCTTTGCTGTCCAAGCTGCCATTTTGAATAGTGCACAGAGAGAGGCCAAGTGTCCGTCCCTACGGCAAATTCAGCCAGAGGTGCTTTCACAATTCAACCACCATTTCCACTTCAGTTCTGACAATATAGCTGACATTTAAAGTCAGTAGTAAAGCCAAGTTTGTATTGTTTAAAACAAGTATACGAAAAACACTGTGAAATCCAATAACAAGCACCTGGAAAGTTGCAGCACTGGTGACGTGCATTAATTGTGACACAAAAACAATACTGATCTGATGGAACTTCCTACCTCAAAGGAAGCATTTAATGATACTTTACCACTTACTTTCCTTGCTTTCTGCCCTAAAGTATCACTAGTAGAGAGTAAATGTCACAAAAAAAAACATACAAGTATTTTTTTCAAATTATAATAATAATAATAATAATAAAGTTAAATAATAAATGTAATAATAATAATAATAATAATAATTATTATTATTATTATTAGTAGTAGTAGTAGTAACTATGATAATAATTATCATTAATAATATAAATATAACTTAAATAACTTAAAACACGATAAATCGCATGCAATATTTAATGCGCATCTTGTCAGAAAGCCGGTTCTGTAATCAGCGGTAAATCTGCTGAGAAACGAGCTGTGCAAAAAATCGCACGAATATGAACGTGGTTTTGCGCAACTC